GAGGGGGCCTTTCTTTGAGGCCTGACAGTTACTGGAGATTTTTAACCACTTCCAAAAAGTCTAAAAATACCCCAAAGCCTGGAGGAAGCCGTGGGTTTGCTGGTTGGTTTTTTGTTTTTTTTTTTCTTTTCCATCCTGGAAAGAGATTGTAAAAAAGGGATCTTTTATTCCGATTTGTTTTGGGGGACAGGCCCCTGAGGAAAAGATGATGTGTGAAAACACGGATGGGGGCACCAAGTTCCTTACCTCTGGTCGGGGGCCAAAAAAATTGGAATCTTTTAAAATTCCCTTTGTTCTCCCACTCTCTGGCAACTGAAGAGCTTAAAAAAAAAAAAAAAAAAAAAAAAAAAAAAAAAAAAAAAAAAAAAAAAAAGAAAGAAAGAAAGGAAAGAAAAAAAGAAAAAGAAAAGAAAAGAAAATGGGAGGAAAAAAAAAAGCTGAGGGAGGGGGAAAAGGCTGGGGGAAGGTGGGGTTTAGCAGAATGAAAGGGACTGTGGTGTTCTTTCTCCGGGGTTGATTGTTCCCAGATGTGCAGTTGCAAAAACATCTGGCGCGGTCGGAGCCGCCGGACCCCTGCACGGAGGGAGCGGAGCTGGGGAGGGAAGGGGGAACAGCGGGGCCCTCCCGGCGGGGACGGGGCTGGAGGCGGCCTCGTCCCCTCCTCGGTGGCCTTGGTGAAGGGGGGACATCGTGGGGACATCGTGGGGACATCGTGGGGATGTCGGCCCCGCTCCGGGGTCTCCGTCGGGAGCAGCCGCTGGCGTCGCCATCGGGGCAGACGTGACCCAACTGTCCCCGTCCCGCAGCCAAACCCTGCGAGCTCCAGCCAAGATTGGGGGAAATTCAGGGAATTGGAGCTCGGGAGAAGCTGCGAGGGCTGGAAACGGGGCTGGCAGAGAGGGCACTGCGGAGCCGTGTGCTTGGGAGGGCGGGAGGATGGTGGGGGATGGCTCCAGAGGTGGTGTCTGTCTGTCCATCCATCCATCCATCCATCCATCCATCCATCCATCCCTCATCCATCCCTAATCCATCCATCCATCCATCCATCCATCCATCCATCCCTCATCCATCCCTCATCCATCCCTAATCCATCCATCCATCCCTCATCCATCCATCCATCCATCCATCCATCCATCCACCATCATCCATCCATCCATCCATCCATCCCCCCCTGCTGATTTTTGGATCCACAGGATGCCGGCTCTGGCGTCCCACAGGATCCTGGCACCTGCAGGACAGCAGGGCTCGGGATGGGCACCCCCAGCCCCAAGCTCTGCCAGCCTGGCACAGCCTCCAGAGGCGCCACTGGTCCTGCTCCTCCCAGTCCCTTTAATCCTGGGACGTTCCGGGCTGGCTCCGGGGCCGTGGGGAGCAGACAGGACCTGTCCCACCGAGGGCAGCCAGGGCTGATCCAGCCCAGGCCGGGACCAACGGCGTGGATTCCCAAAGCCAGGGAGGCTCTGGAGTCAGCACCTCCAGCAGCTCCAGTCCTGGAACGGGAGGATGAGGATGAGGTTCCCAGGGATGAGCTGTGAGGGGAGGGAGCTTTGTTTGGTGAGGCTGCAGGACCCGGGGAGCAGAGGGTGCCACACGCTGGGCGTGGTGCAGGACACGGGCCCTGGAAGGTGCCTTCAGAGACTGGGGTGCTGGGAAACGGGAATGTTGATACAGAGGGGGATGGGATCCCTGGAGGATCCCACACTGGGGCTGCTGCAGGATGGGATCCCTGGAAGATCCCACTCCCTGGATGGTGCAGGATGGGATCCCTGGATGGTGCAGGATCCCTGGATGGTGCAGGATGGGATCCCTGGAGGATCCCACCCTCCGGAGCTGCTGCTCCCAGTCCCGCTGACCCTTCCCGGGTGTGGCGGGGCTGGAGCCGCGTTCCCCCGGGATCTGGGCCGGGAAGCTCTCCCGGCACAGGGGGGCCGATGTTCCCGCTCCGCGGGATGAGGTTCCAAAGGGCTCCTCCCCCCCGTGCCTCAGTTTCCCCGCTGCGGCAGCAGAGCCGGGAGAGCCCGGGGAGGATCCCCCCACCCGAGCGCCGGGAATGCCGGCGGGATTCATCCTCAAACCCCTTCCCCTGGATTTCAGAGGAGTTTTGGGGGAGAATTTCTCCTTTTCCCCCGATTCTCCCCCTGGAGCTGGCTGGGGATGGGGGAAGGGCGGCCGGCATTCCTGGCGGCTCCCGGCCTTGGCGCCTCTTCCCGCCGGGAGCAGCAGCCTTGGAAAACGCCGGGAAGCGCCGGGGCCGCCAAACCCCACGGGATTCCTCTCAAAATCCGGGATTTTCTCCTCAGATCCCCACGCTCCTCCAGATTTAGGGAACGCCCGAGCAAACGCAGCATCCCCCCAAAACAATTCCTTACCCAAGGAATTGGAAACCTCGGGAAAGGAGCCCGAAATTTCCACTCCGGGGGGTCAAGGCCTCTCCTCCCACATCCCGAGTGATCCGGGGAGTGATCCCGACACCCCGGGAGTGATCCCGGATCCTGGGAGTGATCCCGACACCCCGGGAGAGATCCCAGATCCTGGGAGTGATCCCGACACCCCGGGAGTGATCCCGGATCCTCAGAGCGATCCTGACACCCCGGGAGTTCCTCCCTGCTCTGCCCGCGGGAAATTCCGGGGTTTGCTCCTTGCAAATCCCCTGGGACTGGGCGGGAAGCATTTTTGGGGAAATTCCTTGGTTTCTGAGGACTGGCAGGGGGAGGATGTTTTTGGAGCCAGCTCCCGGGGACACCAGGGATGGGGCAGTGTCCTTGCATGTCCCTGAGTGTGTCCCCGCGTGTCCCCGCGTGTCCCCTCCCTCTGAATCCCCTCCGCTCCCCTCCAGACTCCTCCGGCTGCTCCCGCCCTTTCCCGTCGTTCCAGCAGGATGAGAGCGGCGGAGCTCCTGGTGCTGTGTCTGCCCGGTGAGTGTCCCCAGCCCTGGGTGACAGCCCCGAACCCCCAGCACCGTTTGGATCACCCCAATCCCCATTTTCTCACTCCACTTTTACCGGTTTTTCTCATTTTTAAACCCCAAGGCACAACTGGAGGGTCCAAACTCTCATTTTCAGGGTCTAAACCCCAGCTCTAGAACCAAAAACCCTATTATTTTTTTTGTGCCCCCAAGCCTCATTTTTGCATCCCAAAACTTAATTTTATGTCCCAAACCCTCATTTTTATGTCCCAAAACCTCCTTTTAACATCCCTAAACCTCATTTTTGGGTCCTAAATCATCACTTTTGGAACCCAAAGCTCTGATTCTGTGGTTGAAAACCACATTTTTTATGGTACAAACCCTCATTTTTAAGTCCCAAGTGGCCTTTTGGAGGTCTAAAGGTTCATCTTAATGCCCAAAATCTCATTTTTAAGGCCCAAATTCAGTTTTCAAAGTCCAAATCCTCTGATTTAGAGGTCAAAGTTTTGTTTATAGACCCAAATACTCAAAGTTTTGTCCCAAAGCCTCATTTTTACCTTCCAGAATCTCATTCTGGGGATCAAAGCCTGCAAAAATGCATTTTTAGGGCGCAAAGTGTTAATTTTTGATACTAAAGCATCATTTGAGGGATGATCAGGAGGTGGCCACACCTCCCAGTGATTTTTGGGGACTGTGCCATCACTCATTCCCTGTTACTCCCCAGAATTCCCCCAAATCCCACTTTGGGCTCAGCTTTAGGCTGGGAATGGCTCCGAGCCGGGGCCACGAGGCACCAAGCGAGTGGGGACGTGGAGGTGGCACAAAACCGGGACAAAACCCAGGGAAATGAGATTTATAACCCCGGGGGATGGCAGCGAGCAGGGAGGGGCTGGAGCCGGAGCCGGGAGAAGCTGGGGTGAAAGGGGGGGACACGGGGAAACACCTCGGGGCGAGGGAAGGGGGCTGGAGCCCCGGAGCCCATCCCGCAGCATTCCTGGGACACGGAGGGATGGAGCGTCCCGGGCTGGGGGAGCTGAGCCCCCTTCCCGGGGATTCCGGTCCATTCCCGGGAATTCCGATCCCTTCCCAGGATTCCGGTCCCTTCCCAGGATTCCGGTCCTTTCCCAGGGATTCCAATCCCTTCCTGAGATTCCAGTCCCTTCCCGGGAATTCCGATCCCTTCCCAGGATTCCGGTCCCTTCCCAGGATTCCAGTCCCTTCCCGGGGATTCCGGTCCCTTCCCGGGGATTCCGGTCCATTCCCGGGAATTCCGATCCCTTCCCAGGATTCCGGTCCCTTCCCGGGGATTCCAATCCCTTCCTAGGGATTCCACTCCCTTCCCGGGAATTCCGATCCCTTCCCAGGATTCCGGTCCCTTCCCGGGATTCCGGTCCTTTCCCAGGGATTCCAATCCCTTCCTGAGATTCCAGTCCCTTCCCGGGAATTCCGATCCCTTCCTGGGATTCCAATCCCTTCCCGAGATTCCAGTCCCTTCCTGGGATTCCGATCCCTTCCAGGGATTCCAGTCCCTTCCCGAGATTCCAGTCCCTTCCTGGGATTCCGATCCCTTCCCGGGGGTTCCAGTCCCTCCGACTCTTCCACGCTGGATTTGGGGCCGTTTCCCCCGGATCCGTGGCAGGCTGAGCTCCCAGGGGATGGAGGGGCTTGGAGCATCCCGGGCTCAGCGGGGCCGTGGCAGCCGGGATCCCCTGGGGTCACCCCTGGGGTCACCCCTGGGGTCACCCGGGTGCTGCAGGGACCCTGGGCAGGGCTGATCCTGCATCCCTGAGCATCCCAAATCCTTCTCCTGCTCTCCTGGGGCCGCAGGGCCCTGAGGACAGAGCGGTGGGATTGGGGATGGTGGGAGCAGGGATCAGGCTGGGGGTGTCCGTGGGAACCCCGAATCCTGGGCAGGGGGTTTCTGTGGGGTTGGGGGGATGGTGGGAGCAGGGAACCCCAAATCCCTGGTTTGGGGTGTCCGTGGGAATCCCAAATACCAGTTTGGGGTGTCTGTGTGGGAATCCCAGATCCCGGCTGGGTTGTCCATGGGAATCCCACATCCCGGTTTGGGGTTCCCATGGCAATCCCAGATCCCGGTTTGGGGTGTCCATGACAATCCCAGATCCCGGTTTGGGGTGTCCATGGCAATCCCCGATCCCGGTTTGGGGTTCCCATGACAATCCCAGATCCCGGTTTGGGGTGTCCATGGCAATCCCCATCCCGGTTTGGGGTTCCCATGGCAATCCCCATCCCGGCCCGGGTGCTGTGCCCCGCTGACCCCGGCCCTGTCCCGCAGCGCTCCTGGTGCAGGGACAGTTCAGCAGGTTCGAGGGCATCACCTACCCCGAGCCAGTCCAGTACTCCCAGTACGACCAGCAGGCAGGTGAGAGCCCGCGCTGGCACGGCCCCGCCCCTTCTGTCCCTCTCCAGACAGACAGACAGACAGACACCCATCCCTCTGATCCCGACAGCCATCCCTCTGAACCCGACAGACAGCCATCCCTCTCCCGGACAGACAGACACCCATCCCTCTGATCCCGACAGCCATCCCTCTGATCCCGACAGACAGACATTCCTCACCCATCCCTCCTCCCTCTTGTGCTCCTTTTCCTCCGCCCCTGGAGTTCCCAACCTTCCCAGCTCCTCCCTCTGCTCTCACTGACAATTCTTTATTTACCATTATCCAATTCCTTATTAAACATTTATCCAACTATTTATTAAACATTTATCCAATCTTTATTATCTCTTTATCCAATTCTTTATTAAACATCTATCCAATTCCTTGTTAAACATTTATCCAATTCTGTATTAACCCTTTATCCAGTTCTTTATTAAACATTTATCCAATTATTTATTTCCTTTTATCCAATTCTTTATTAACCCTTTATCTAATACTTTATTAAACCTTCATCCAATTATTTCTTAACCCTTTATCTAATTCTTTATTCAACCTTTATCCAACTATTTATTCGCACTTTATCTAATTATTTTTGAACCTTCATCCATGCCCAATCCCACCTGTGGGAAGTGGCCCAGGCTCATCCCTGGAGGGGCTGGAGGGAGTTTTCCCGGCCCGCCACGGAGTTCCAGGGATCTCATTTCCCACTCCCAGTCCCCACGGGATGAGTTCTCTCCCCGAACCCTCCCTCAGCCTGTTTCTGTTTTATCCCCAGAAATTCAGGATTACTACGACTACCACGGTGAGTGTTTCCCTCTGGGATGCCGGGGGGGGGGATCAGGATTTGGGGCTGTCCCTGCACTGGGTCTCTCCCTGCAGATGTCACCCCCCGAGCCCCGGAGGAGCAGTTCCGGTACCAATCCCAGCAGCAATCCCAGCAGGAAACCGTGCCGGCCCCGACCCCAGGTGGGTGACAGCCCCCGGGATGAGTGACAGCCACCAGGATGAGTGACAGTCACAGGATGGGTGACAGCCCCCCAAGCCCCCCAGTCCCGGGGCTGGGGTCTCTCTGTCCCTTCCCTGTTCCCCCAGCTGCTGTTTTCCCCCCGCAGCAGCCGGTGGGTGCCAAGGGTGCTCCAGCCCTAAAATCCCGGGAAAGGGCAGGGAGACATTTCTGCCCCATCCTGAAATTCCCTTACCTGTCTCCTTGTCCCCTTGTCCTCTTGTCCTCTGTCCCCCTCTTCCCCTTGTCTCCTGTCGCCTGTCCACTCTGTCCTGCGTCCCCCTGTCCCACATCCCCCTGTTCCCTGTCCCCCTGTCCCTCTGTCCCCTCTCCTTGTCCCCCTCAGCTGCGGTGCCCGAGACGGAGCCCACGGAGCCGGGACCGCTCGGTGAGTGCCGATCCCATTCCCGTTCCCTGTGCGATCCCATTCCCGTTCCCTGTGCGATCCCATTCCCGTTCCCTGTGCGATCCCATTCCCGTTCCCCCCGGAGCCGGGCTGTGCCGCCGGGGGGGACAGCCGGGACGGGGGGAGGTGACATCGGGCGGGGGGAGGTCCCGGTGAGGAATTCCCGGGAATTGCGGGTTCCGCAGACTGCCGGGAGGAGCAGTACCCCTGCACCCGGCTCTACTCCGTGCACAAGCCCTGCAAGCAGTGCCTGAACGAGATCTGCTTCTACAGGTGCGTGGGGATGGGAAACACCCCCTGATCCCCCTGAGCAGGGATTTTGGGAATTTTTCGGCTTTACATCCCCATCCTTTCTGTCCCAAAAATTCCAGCCTCCGCCGGGTGTACGTCATCAACAAGGAGATCTGCGTCCGCACCGTGTGCGCCCACGAGGAGCTGCTGCGAGGTGAGGGGGGCGCGCCCAAACTCCCAAACTCCCCCGCCATTCCGGGAGGGAAAATCCCGCGGGACAAAGCTCCCGAGACCCCCGGAGCACAGCGGGGTGGGCAGCAATGGGGCGGGGGTCCCTGCCTGCTCCCAAAGCTCCCGAGACCCCCGGAGCACAGCGGGGTGGGCAGCAATGGGGCGGGGGTCCCTGCCTGCTCCCAAAGCTCCCGAGACCCCCGGGGCACAGCGGGGTGGGCTGGGCTGGGGGGCTTCCCTCGCTGCTCTCCCGGAGTTTCCCCCATCATCCAGGGCTAACCCCTCTCTGCCCGCAGCCGACCTGTGCCGGGACAAGTTCTCCAAGTGCGGGGTGATGGCCACGAGCGGCCTGTGCCAGAGCGTGGGCGCGTCCTGCGCCCGCAGCTGCGGCGGCTGCTGAGCGCCGGCCCCGCCGCGCACCCGCCCCGCGCCGCCGCAGCTCCCGTGCATCAAGGAGCAGCTCCCGTGCATGAGGGAGCCGCTCCCCGAGACCCCGGGATTCCTCTTCTCCTTGTGCACATAATAATTAAATCGGGGGGGTTTGTTATTCCTGTGCCTTTCTCTGCTCCGCGGGAGGGGGAGCCCCGGAGCGTCCTGCAGAGAGCGGAGGGGCCCTGCGGCTCCCGGCTCCTTCCTCTGGGGTAATTCCTGATTTTTGGGCTCCCGGCTCCTTCCTTTGGGGTAATTCCTGATTTCTGGGCTCCCGGCTCCTTCCTTTGGGGTTAGTCCCGGTTTTTGGGTTCCCGGCTCCTTCCTTTGGGATTATTCCCAATTTCTGGGCTCCCAGATCCTTCCTTTGGGATTATTCCTGATTTTTGGGCTCTCAGCTCCTTCCTTTGGGGTTATTCCCGATTTTTGGGCTCCTGGCTCCTTCCTTTGGGATTATTCCCAATTTCTGGGCTCCCAGATCCTTCCTTTGGGGTTATTCCCAATTTTTGGGCTCCCGGCTCCTCCCTTTGGGGTTATTCCCGATTTTTGGGTTCCCGGCTCCTTCCTTTGGGATTATTCCCAATTTCTGGGCTCCCAGATCCTTCCTTTGGGATTATTCCTGATTTTTGGGCTCCCACCTCCTTCCTTTGGGGTTATTCCTGATTTTTGGCTCCCGGCTCCTTCCTTTGGGGTTATTCCTGATTTCTGGGCTCCCGGCTCCTTCCTTTGGGATTATTCCCGATTTTGGGGGAGTTTCTAACCATTTGAACAATTCCCAGCGCTGCACACAGGGGGTATGATGGTTTGGGGGTTTTAGGGGCCTTTGGGGTGTAAAATGGTCAAATTTAGGGTGGTGGTTGGGGGATGTGAGGGCTCAGTTTGGGGCAGTTCCTATAGGAATATGCATGGTATGGAAATGTTTGGGGTGAGGTCTGGGTCACTTACAGAAAATAAAGGGGTTTGGGGTGAGTTTGGGGCTGGTTTTGGGGTGTTGCCCAGTTCCCCTATAGAAGGGTGGCGGGTGGGGTCTCACAGTGAATTTCTCCCCTGTAGGGCAATTTTCCCTCCCTAGGATGAATTTCCTCTCTCTAAGGTGAATTTCTTGTTTATAGGGTGAATCTCTCCTCTATAAGGTGCATTTCCCCTCTGTAGGGAGAATTTCCCCCCAGAACTTCTCTCTCATCTACAGGGTGCAGCTTTATCCTCATCATCATTTGCTGTTTACTACGATTCCTTATCCTTTACTCTTCATTATCACTAATTATTATTATTGGGCTTTAATTCTTGCTTATTTCTATTTATTCTTCATTATTCTAATTATTCATTATTATTTAGGGACCTCATTCAACCCAGCCCAAATTTGGGCATTCCCAAAATGCCACCTTCCCCCCAAAAAATCCCTCAGAACTCCCAGTTTGGATTTTCCACGTTTATTCTGGCCAGGACTGGGGTGGGGTCAGAGCCACCACTTCCCTTCCCGTGGCTTTCCCAACCTCAGGCTGCCCCGGAGCACCAGTAAAAACCCCCATTCCCAAAAATTCCATATAAAAACCCTGCTAGTTCCTAAAAAAATCCTTCAAAAACACAAATCCAGGGAGTTTTTTGTTAGAAAAAGGGGGGAAATTAGGATGGGGTGAGGGCAGGGCTTGGAAGGCTGGAGGGGAATAAATCAGTTGGGGTCAAAAAAAGGGAATACTTCCCATTTTTCCGTTAAAAACTGCAACAGAAAAATGGGTAAACCATCCATGAGGTCCCAGATTGTATCAAAAATAGACAAATTTTTTTGGCTGGTGGGAAAAGTGCAGCTTTTTCCTGGAGAAAAGGGAATGAGGAGACAAAAATCGCTGTGGGTCTGGAGCACAGGGATGAGGATGGATCCCGCTCAGCCCTGAGCGGAGCTGCTGTGGATTCTGGGATCAGGGATGGGGATGGATCCCCCCATCCCGGAGCTGTGCCGGTCCCTGCGGATGTCCCGGAATTCCCGGAATTCCCTAAGTTCCGCTGGGATGTCGCTGCAGCTCCTGCTCCTTGAGCAGCGTGATCTGCAGGAGGGAGGGAGGGGAGGCTGTGGGGCCGGGCCGTGTCCCCCGGGGCTGTCCCCGTGTCCCCCGGGCCGTGTCCCCCCGGGCTCTGTCCCCTGGGCTGTCCCCCTGTCCCCCCGGGCCGTGTCCCCTCACCTGCTCCTCCAGGCCGCCGCGGCCGAGCCGCAGCCGCTCCAGCTCCCGCTGCAGCTCCGCGGGCGCCTCGGGCAGCGGGCGGGCCCGGAGCTCCAGCGCCGACACCTGCGCCTGCGGGAGCGGTGAGCGGTGCCCGGCACCCCGCACGGGGCACGGCCTGCCGCGGGCACCCCGAGCGGGCCCGAGACAGCGCCAGAACCGGCACCAAACCGGCACCAAACCGGCACCAACAGCAGCACCAGCACCGACACCTCCCTGCCCCTGGCACGAGCCTGGCCCCATCCCAGCACCAGGCTGGTTCCCATCAGGATGAGCTCCCAAAAGGAGCAGCCCCATCCCATGGAATTGGGATCAGCCCCAGCCCCTTCCTGTGGATCAGGATTTGCCCCAGCCCATGGATCAGCACCAGCCCCATCCCAGGGATCAGCCCCAGCCCCATCCCATGGACCAGGCTCAGCCCCATCCCATGGTTCAGGATCAGCCCCAGCCCCATCCATGGATCAGGCTCAGCCCCATCCCATGGATCAGGATCAGCCCCAGCCCCATCCCATGGTTCAGGATCAGCCCCATCCCATGGTTCGGGATCAGCCCCAGCCCCATCCCATGGATCAGGATCAGCCCCATCCCATGGTTCGGGATCAGCCCCAGCCCCATCCCGTGGATCAGGATCAGCCCCATCCCATGGTTTGGGATCAGCCCCAGCCCCATCCCGTGGATCAGGCTCGGCCCCGGCGCAGGGACCCACCCGCAGCACCTGGATGCGTTTCCGAGCCTCCTCCAGCTCCCGCTCGGCCGAGCCCGGGGGTGGATCCAGCCCCGCTGGGATCCACGCGGATCCAGCCCGGCCGGGAGGGTCCCGCTCCTGCCCGGACACACAGGTAAATATTTATTAAAGTGTGTGTAACAGATAGAAAAATACAGAGATATATTAGAGTAATACATATATATACACATCTATATGGCAATAGGTCAATTATCTAATACAGTATCAGATAATTAGATATGATGATATAGGTATGAGATGATAATTAGATAATTAATTAGCCCATAAGGGTGTGGGGCTCTATGGGGGATCCACAGTCTGGGGTCAAAGGTCAGAGAATTTGGGGCACGGCCCCGCTCACCTCCTGCTGCCGGTCCTGGGAGGGCTCCGGCGACATTCCCTGTTCCGGGGTCATTCCCAGCTCCCGGAGCGTTCCCGGCTCCCGGAGCGTTCCCGGCTCCCGCAGCATTCCCGGCTCCCCGAGCATTCCCGGCTCCCGCAGCATTCCCAGCTCCCGCTGCTCCCGCAGCTGCTCCCGCAGCATTCCCTTCTCCCGCCGCGCCTCCGCCAGCGCCCGCCGCGCCTCCTCCAGCCCTTCCTGGGACACCGGGGGGACAGCCCCGTGACACCCGGGGACACCCGGGGACACCCCCGGGACAGCCCCGGAACACCCCCGGGACACCGGGGACTGGCATCGGGCTCAGGGGGACTGGGAATGGATCCGGATAAAACTGGGACAGGATTGGGGGGAGCTGGGAGGGGGTTCAGGGGGAAGAGGGAAGAGTTCCAGTGGGAATTGGGACTGGGAGTGGTTCAGGGCAAATGGGGGTACTGGGAGGGGTTCAGAGGGAACTGGGGGAAGTGGGAGGGGGTTTAGGGAGAACTTGGAGGACTGGGAAGGGATTCACAGAGAATGAGGGGACTGGGAAGGGGCTCGGGAGGAGCCGGGGGCACTGGGAGCGGTTCCGGTCCCACCTGGAGCAGCCTCCGGTCCGTCTCGCCGGCGGCCAGCGCGCTCTGGAGCTGCAGGAGCCGCTCGTGGAGCAGGGACCCGTCCGGAGCCTCCCCCTTGGAGCCGCTCCCCGGCAACACCGGGAACGGCCCCGAGCGGGACTCGGCCTGAGCCAGCTGTGCCCGGAACGGGAACGGAGAGTGGGGAACTGGGGGGGATCCAGGGGGCACTGGGGGCACTGGGAGGGGATTTAGGAGGAACTGGGGGACCTGGGAGGGGACTCAGGGGGACTGGGGGGGACGGGGTGGGTGTTCAGGAGGAACTCAGAGGAATTGGGAGGGGATTTGGGGATAACTGGGAGGACTGAGAGGGGTTTTAGGGGGACAACTGTGATGGGATCCAGGGGGGACTGTGGGAACTGGGAGTGGGTTCAGGTGGAACTGGGAAGGCATTCGGGAGGCACTGTGGAAAACACAAGGGAACTGGGAGTGGGTTCAGTGGGAGCTGTGGGAACTGGGAGTGGGTTCAGGGGGAGCTGTGGGACTGGGAAGTGCTTCAGGAGGCGCTGGGAGGGCGCTCGGGGGTGGAACCGTGGGATTGGATCCATGGAAAGCCAGTTCAGCCCCGGGGTGCGGCGGGAGCGGTGCCGGTACCTGCGTGCGGAGCTGCTCCGCTCGCTGCCGCGCCTCCCGCGCCTCCGCGTCCCGCTCGGCCACGGCCCGCCGGGCCCGGCCCAGCTCCGCCTGCAGCGCCCTTCGCTGCAGCTCCAGCCGGGCGCTGCGGCTCTCGCACAGCTCCAGCCTCTGCCGCGCCTCCTCCAGCTCGCCCAGCTTCTCCTGGAGCCGCCGCAGCGCGGGCGTGGAGCCGGGATGTGCCGGGCACGCCTGGGCTGCCCCGCGCTCCCACCCGGGCTGCCCGGCATTCCCGCCTGGATTATCCCAGATTCCCACCTGGACTGCCCGCCATTCCCACCTGGATTATGCTACAGTCCCACCTGGATTATCCTACAGTCCCACCTGGACAGCCCAGCATTCCCACGTGGATTATCCCACATTCCCACCTGGAATATCCCACGGTCCCACCTGGAATATCCCACGGTCCCACCTGGACAGCCCGGCATTCCCGCCTGGATTATCCCACAGTCCCACCTGCATTATCCCAGATTCCCACCTGGATTATCCCACATTCCCGCCTGGACGGCTCAGCACTCCCACCCCATGGGACTGCTCGATATTCCCACCTGGACTATCCCACATTTCTACCTGTGCTGCTCCCCATTCCCACCCGGACTGCCGGCATTCCTGCCTGGACTTGCCCCCAGTCTCCAACTGGACTATCCGCGCGCATCCCGCTCTCCAGGGCGCTCAGGCGCTCCCGCAGCCCGCGGCATTCCCGCTGCGAGCGCCGCAGGTTCTCGTCCTGCAGCAGCAGCGAGGCGCGGGCCCCGCTCAGCTCCCGCCGCTCTGCGGGTCCGGGGTGCAGAGGGGTTTTATTGGGGTTTGTGGGGGTGCAGGGGGGTTTTAATGGGGTTTTACTGGGGTTTGTGGGGGTTTACTGGGTTTTATGGGGATAGAAGGGGGTGTTAATGGGGTTTGTGGGGGTGCAGGAGGGTTTTACTGGGGTTGGTGGGGGTACAAATGGGTTTTACTGGGGTTTGTGGGGGTACACAGGAGTTTTACTGGGGTTGGTGAGGGTGCAGAGGGGTTTTATTGGGGGTTGTGGGGGTGCAAAGGGGTTTTAATGGGGTTCACTGGGGTTTGTGGGGGTGCAGTGGGGTTTTGTTGGGGTTGGTGGGGGTGCAGAGAGGTTTCCCTGGGGTTTTTCTGAGGTTTGTGGGGGTGCAGTGGGGTTTTACTGGGGTTTGTGGGGGTGCAGAGGAGTTTTATTGGGGTTTGTGGGGGTGCAGTGAGGTTTTATGGGCGTTTTAATGGGGTTTCTGGGGATGGAATGGGCTGGATTATCCCACAAATGGGGTTTGTGAGGCTGCAGTGGTTAGGGTTAGGGGATGGAGCAATGGGGTCACAAGGAACTCCAGGGATGCAGGGGATGGAGCAGTGGGAACACCCAGGGACATAGGATACTACAGTGGGATTTTACTGGGGTTTGTGGAGATTTATTTGGTTTATGGGAAATGCAGAGGGGTTTATCAGAGTTTATGGGGGATGTTGGGGGGTTACTAGGGCTAAGTGGGCTTTATGTGGGATGCAGAGGGGTTTTACTGGGGTTTATGTGGTTTATTGGGTTTATGGGAAATGCAGAGGGGTTTATCAGAGTTTATGGGGGATGCTAGGGAGTTATTGGGGTTAAGTGGGCTTTATGTGGGATGCAGAGGGGTTTTACTGGGGTTTATGGGGATGCAGAGGAGTTTTACCCATTTTATTGGGATTTATGGAATTTGCATGGGGGGTTCCCAGTTTTACTGGGAATTACAGGGGAAGCACGGGAGGTTCCCAATTTTACTGGGGTTTTTGGGAGATTCAGGGGGGTTCTACCCACTTTATTGGGATTTATGGCACTTGCTCAGGGCATTTCCCAGTTTTCCTGGGGTGGTTGTGGGACGCAGGGAGGTGTTATAAGTTTTATTGGGGTTTTATTGGGGTTTTATTGGAGTTTTATTGGAATTTATGGGGGACAGACTGGGAGGGGTTACTGGGTTCACTGGGGTTTAAGAGGGATGCACAGGGGTTTTACCCCTTTATTGGCATTTATGGAGACTGCACAGGGAGTTCACAAGTTTTGCTGCACTTTATGGGGAATTTTTAATGGGTTATTTTTTATTACTATTTTTTAATGTTTTGGGTATTTAATTTAATTTTACGGGGATTTCTGCAGTTTGCACGGGGTTTTTTTGAGCTGTTTTATTGGGGTTTACAGGAAACACACGGGGGATTTACCAGTTTTACTGGGATTTACGTGGGGTGCAGACAGGTTCTGCCCCACTTTATTGAGATTTATGGAGTTTGCACAGGGGGTTTTACCAGTTTTGCTGGGTTTTGTGGAGTTTACCCGTTTAACTGGCATTTACACGGGATCCACAGGGGAGTTTAGCAGTCCTAGTGGGATTTATGGGCACCCATGAGGGTTTTACCAGTTTCACTGGCATGTGTGGGAGATACAGAGAGGTTTTACCCATTTCATTTGGGTTAGAAGGATATATGGAATTTTTCACCACTTTGTACTGCTATTTAAAGGAGGTATAGAAGGGTTTTACTGGGATTTAAGAGGTTTCCCACCAGGATTTTGGAGGAAATCCCGGGGAGCACCCTCCGCTCTGGCCAGCACCGCCCCCCTCCCTGTGCCTCAGTTTCCCTCGGAGCTGCTGCTCGCTGTGGCGGCTCCAGCAGCCACCACACCACCCCGAACCCCAGACAGCCCCGTCACCTTGCTCGCTCTCGTCCAGCAGTTTCTGGAGCCGCTGCGCTCGGGCGCCGGCGCTGTCCCGCTCCGCCTCCGCCTCCGCCAGGCGCCGGCCCAGGCTGCCCAGCTGCCCCCGGAGCTCCTCCTGCGGGAACGGGGGCTGGGGAAGAGCCCTTTGGGGTCCCGGGCACGGGAGGGACAGGGGCACGCACCCGCTCCCGCTGCGCGTCCTGCAGCTCCCGCAGGAATTCCCGCAGCGCCGCCCGCAGCGCCTCGGGATCGGGATCGGGATCGGCATCTGCCAACGGGCCGGGGCTGCCCGGCCCCTCCGGAACCCCGCCTGGGGACAACAGGGGTGGCAGGGGGACACCAGCCTGAGGGAGGGGACAGAGCAGCGGGGGACACCAGGGAGGCAGGGGATGGAGTGAAGGGGACCCCGGGGTGCAGGGATGGAATAATGGGGTTTGGGAGGATCCAGGGATGAAGAGGATGGAATAACGGGGTTTGGGAGGATCCAGGGATGAAGGGGATGGAATAATGGGGTTTGGGAGGATCCAGGGATGAAGAGGATGGAATAACGGGGTTTGGGGGGATCCAGGGATGAAGGGGATGGAATAACGGGGTTTGGGGGGATCCAGGGATGAAGGATGGAATAATGGGGCATTTGGGAGACCCCTGGGTTGCAGGGGATGGAGCAATGGGAGACCCCCAGGATGCAGGAATGGAATAATGGGGCTTGGGAGGCCACAGAGATGCAGGGGGTGGAATAACAGAGTTTGGGAGGATCCAGGGGTGAAGGGGATGGCGCAATGGGGTTTGGGAGACCCACTGCTCCAAAGCACCGCTGTGCTGGAGATGCCCAGGGCTGGATCAAGGGTGACATCTCCCTTCCCCTCAGCCCCCTCCGGAGCCCCGGTGTCCCCGGGGCCGCTCACCCTTGGCCCTGGCCACGGCCACGGTGCGGCGCAGGGTGGCCTGGAGGCCGCCCAGGCGGGACTCGGTGGCCCGGCGCTGCTCCTCGCCGCGGGCCAGCTCCGCCTCCAGCCCCTGGGCCCGGCCCTGCGCCGCGCTCAGCCGCAGCCCCAGCTCGGCCACCTCGGCCCGCGCCGCCTCCACCTTGAGCTGCAGGTTCCGCGCGTCCGCCAGCAGCTTCTTCTCATTGCCCCGCGCCTCCTCCAGGCTGCGGGACAGCTCCTGCTCCCGCCGCCGGAATTCCTGCTCCGCCGCCGCCAGGCGCTGCTGCAGCTGCTGCAGCTGCGGGGACGGGAGAGAGGGAGAGGGGAAGGGTGGCTGGGAGCCATGGGGAACGGGGGACGGAGCAACGGGGTGATGGGGGACCCCAGAGAGCTGGGGGATGGAGCAGTGGGGTCACAGGGGAACTCCAGGGAGGTGAGGGATGGAGCAATGGGAACACGCAGGGACACAGGGTACCATGGTGATGGCGATGATTGGGGACAATGGGACAGGGACACCTTAAGACCCACAGGACAGCCAGCTATGGGGGCACAGGGACACTTCGGGATGAGGGACACCCACAGCGGGGTCTTGGGCACCTCTGGGGACGCCCTCACCTCCTTCCTGGCAGCCTCGGTGCCGGCCTCGCTCTCGGCCACCTTCTGCCTGAGGCCGGAGGCCTCGCGGCGGCTCCGCTGCTCCCGCTGCTCCTCCAGGGCCACCCGCGCCTGCAGCTCGCCCAGCTCCCGGCCCCGCCGGCTGTTCTCGCTGTCCAGCTCCTTCACCTGCCCGCGAGGGGAGCAGTGGTTCGGGCACACGCCGAGGGCCGGGAGGCTCCGTGCCACCCCAGTCCCGTGCCGCTGTCCCTGACCTGGCGGCGCAGCTCCTGCAGCTCCCGGCGGCTCTCCAGGCGGGCGCGCTCCAGCCCCCGCAGCGCCGCCCGCAGCTCCGACACCTCCCGCTCGGCCGCCGCCCGCGCCGCCTCCAGCAGCGCCAGCCGCTGCTCCTTGTCCTCCCCGGAGCGCTTCAGGCTGCGGGCAGCGGCGGCTGGCAGCGCCCGGGGGGGTGGCATGCCCCCGGCCCCAGCCGTGCCCATCCAGGTGTCCCCCCAGCCCCAAATTTCCATCACCTTGTCCTGAGCGTCCTCCTGACCTGGAGCACCGCCCCATCCCAACCTGAGCATCCTGTGAGCGTCCCAACACCTCCCGAACCCAGGCATCGCCCTCCAGGGTGGGGAATCACCCCTGTAACTCCCAACTCCTGCTTTCCCTCATCCCGAGCATCTCCAGACTCCTGCATCTCCCAGCTCCTGCATCCCTTAACCCCTGCACATCCCAGCCTGTGCTTCCCTCATCCTGAGCGTCTCCCAACTCCCGCATCTCCCAACTCAAGCAGCCCCTTGTTCCACCCATCACTCCGACTCCTGCACTTCCCAGCTTGGACATTCCCTTACCCCGAGCATCCCTCCAGCCCCGAGCAGCCCCCCAGCCCCAAGCAGCCCCCCAGCCCCGAGCAGCCCCTCCAAGGCACCACAGCCGCGCCCTGCACTCTCGGTGAGGCCATCCCGCGTTCCCGACCTGATGCGCTCTCCCTCGGCGCGCCGCAGGGCCGCCCGCAGCTCCTCGTTGGAGCGCTGCAGCGCCTCCTTCTCCCGGGCCGCGTCGCCCAGCGCCCGCCGCGCCTCCTGCGCCCGCCGCCGCTCGGTGTCGCGGCCCTCGCGGCTGTCCCGGGCCTCTCGCTGCGCCTCCAGCAGCTCCTGCCGCGCCGCCGCCCGCGCCTCGGCCCCCGCCCGCAGCTGCGCCCGCGCCTCCTCCGCCTGCCCGGAGCGGGATCTCCAGGGATTTGGGGATTCCAGGGGGGCTGGAAGGGGTTTTGGGGCGCGGCTCACCTCCCGCAGGGCGCTGTCCCGCTGCTTGGCCGCCGCTGCCGCTTGGTCCCGCAGTGTGCTCGCCTCCCGCTCGTGGCTCAGCGCCGCCTCCTCCGCCCGCGCCCGCAGCGAGCGCAGCTCCGCGGCCAAGGCCTGCGGGGACACGGCACCCTGAGACCCCCGTCCCTCCCTTCGGGGGTCCCGGGGGCCGGCACCACGGGCATGGGTCCCGGAGAGAGGGGGACAATGAGGATGGGCTCCCAGAGAGAGAGTAGGGACAGTGGGGTTGGGGTCCCAGAGACAGGAGAACAGTGCAGATGGGGACCCGGAGAGAGAGGGCAACGGGGAGAGGGTCCTGGAGAGAGAGTAGAGACAGTGGGGTTGGGGTCCTGGAGAGAGGTGGGGCAATGGGGATGGGGTCCCAGAGACAGGGGGACAGTGGGGATGGATCCCAGGGACGGGGGGGGAATGGGGATGGGGTCCTGGAGAGAGGTGGGGGCAATGGGGATGGGGTCCCAGAGAGAGGGGACAATGGGGATGGGGTTCTGGAAAGAGGGAGGCAATGGAATGGGTCCTGGAAAGGAGGGAGTAATGGGGATAGGGTCCTGCGGTGGAACAGTGGGGATGGGGTCCCGGAGACAGAGGGACAGTGGGGATGGGGTCCCAGAGACAGGGGGACAGTGGGGGTGGTGCAGGGATGGGGTGAGGGGGCTCAGGTACCACAGCTGAGCCCCACTCCTGCAGGAGGATGGGAGGTGAAGTTGGGGGCTGCAAGAAAAGGGGACACTGGGGGGGTCATGCAATGGTGGGGGTGAGGCTCAAGCTGGGGGAGTGCAAGGGGGGGCACCCAGGAATGGGGGGCTGCAATGGGGGGGGCTACAGGGGCTATTCAGACAGGAGGAGCTGCAGTGGGGAATGCCCAGGAATTGGGGGGTGACAAGGGGACACCCAGGCACAGGTGGCTGCAGGAGCAGGGGTCACTTTAGCAATGAGGGTTGCAAAGAGGGAAGACTCCTGGGCACAGGGGCTGGAAGTGGGGGCTCTGTGCCACCCTGGGGGGGGTCTGGGAGCCCCCCAAACCCACCTGCTCCTTCTCCTGGTGGCCTGTGACCTCTCGCCGCCGCTGCTCCAGCTCGGCCGTGGCCTCGTCCAGGCTCCGCTGGAGCCCCTCCAGGGTCCCTGCCAGGGCCACCCGCTCCTCCTCCTGCAGCGCCAGAGCCTGGGGGACAGCGGGGGTGGCACAGGGCTGGGGGACATGGAGCTGGCACAGGGCTGAGGGGACATCAGGGGTGGCACAGAGCTGGGGGATACGTGGGTGGCACAGGGCTGGGGGACAGGGAAGTGGCACAGGGACAGGGGGACAAGAGGGCTGGCACAGGGTGGGGGGACAGGCGAGTGGCACAGGGCTGAGGGGACATCAGAGGTGGCACAGGGACAAGGAGACATCAGGGCCAGCACCTGCTGCTTCTCGCTCTGGCGCTGCTGCCGCGCTGCCGCCAGCTCGGCCACCAGCTCCTCGTGCTCCTGCACCAGCCGGCCCCGCTCGGCCTCCAGCTCCTCCTGCCAGCCCCAAAATCACCAGCGGACCCCAAAAATCATCAGTGAACCCAAACAATCCTGCACCCCAAGCATCGTGCCCCAACGATCAGCGGGAATGTCAGGAATCAAGGTTGCCCCCCAAAAATCACCACTGTGCCCTCAACAATCAGCATGTGCATCAAAAATCAGCTCTGCACCCCAAACACCTACATTTCACCCCAAAAGTCACCACTGAGACCCAAAACCAAACATTTCACCCCAAAAACAACCACTGTACCCTCAACAATCAGCATGTGCATCAAAAATCAGCTCTGCACCCCAAAAATCTACATTTCACCCCAAAAATCACCACTGAACCCCAAACCCCAACATTGTTCCCCAATAACCACCACCATGCCCCAACAATCACCCTTAAAACCCCCAAATTCACCATGGCTCCCTAAAAACCTCCACCACAGCACCCCAAAATGCCGACACCACACCCCCCAGATCCCTCCTGCAGCCCCAAACCCTCGTGCCCCCCGCCCCGAGGGCACCTTCTCGCGCTGGAGGTGCTCCAGCTGCTCCCGGTGCGTGTCACGGGCGCTCTGCAGTGCCGCTGCCACCGCGGCCGCCTCGGCCACCGCCACCGCCTGGCGCCGCTCCCGCAGCTCCTGCGCCCGCTCCCGCCGCGCCACGCCCAGCTCCGCTGGGGACACGGGACAGCACCGTGGGGACAGCCACCATGGGGACAGCCTCAGTCACAGGGACACCCTCAGTGATGGGGACAGCCCAGTCATGGGGACAGCCACCATGGGGACAGTCCGGTCATGGAGACACCCCTCAGGGACAGGGACACCACTCAGTCATAGGGACACCACTCAGTCATGGGGACACCCCCAGTCATGGGGACGTCCCAGAGCTAATGGGGACCCACCAGTCAGTGGGGACAACCCCAGCCAGTGGGAACAACACCCCCAGGCATGGGGACAACCTCAGTCATGAGGACACCTCCCCATGAGGGGGAACACCCCCAAGTCATGGAGACACCCCCTGGCAATGGGGAAGAGGGGATGGAGCTGAGGATGAGGATGGAAATGGATGGTAAAGATGGGGATGGACGAGGATGAAGATGTATATAACAGATACCATGGATGGGTATGGATCGTGAAGATGAGGAGAGATGGGGATGAAGATGGAGATGAGGATGGGGATGGGGATGAGGATGGGGATGGATAGGTGGGAGCTGGCCATGGCCAGGCTGATGGGACATGCGGGTGGCCAGGACCCCTCACCCTCCAGCGCCTCCTTGGCCTGGGTCAGTGTCCGGCCCTGGGCCTCCAGCTGCTGATTGCGGGCCTGGAGCTGGGCCAGCTCCTGCTGCAGCTGGAACACGGTGCTCTCCAGCCCCTCCTTCTCCGACCTGCGGGACACAGGGCTGGGCATGGGGCTGGGGACGGGGCTGGACCCGCCCCGGCACCCCCTGAGCCCGGCGCCCCCCGACCCGGCACCCCCTGAGCCCGGCCCCACCTGAGCCCGGCGGCCTCGCGGTCGCGGTGCCGCTCCTGGCGCTGGGCAGCCGCCAGCTGCACGGCCAGCCCGGCCCCGTCCTGGGCCAGCGCCGCCTGGGTCCGGCCCAGCCGCTCCTGCTCCGCCCGGAGCCGCTCCTGCTCCGCCCGCGCCCGCGCCAGCGCCTCGCCCGCCGCGCTCTGCTCCTGCACCGCCTGCGGCACGCCGGAGACACCAGCGACAGCCCGGGGACCACCAGTTACCACATGAGCCCTCCCAGTCACCCTTGGCACCCTCCCCACCCCTCCCAGTTACCCCAGACTCTCTCCCCACCTCCCCCAGTTGTCCCTGGCACTCTCCCATTTACCCCTGACACCCTCCCAGTGGCCCCATGCCCCCTCCCCACCTGTCTCAGGTACACCTGACACCCTCCCCACTGCTCCCAGTTGTCCCTGGTACTCTCCCAGTTACCCCTGGCACCCTCCCCACTGCTCCCAGTTGTCCCTGGCACCCTCCCAGTTACCCCTGGCACCCTCCCCACTGCTCCCAGTTGTCCCTGGTACCCTCCCAGTTACCCCTGGCACCCTCCCCACCGCTCCCGGTTGCCCCCGCGGTGCCCACCTGGCCCAGGCTGTGGCGCAGCCGCTCGTGGAGCCCGCGCAGCTCCCGCAGCTCCTCCCGCAACCCCCGCCCGTCGTCCCGGGGGTCCCCCCGCGGCCGCTCCAGCTCCCGCCGCTCGCCGCCGGGGCGGGGGCCGCTCTCCAGCCGCGCCCGCAGCAGCGCCAGCTCCCGGCACAGCTCCCGGCTGCGCAGCCGGCCCCGCTCCCGCTCCTGCTCCAGCCGCTCCAGCCGCCGGCCCAGCTCCGCCTTGTCCCGGGCCAGCCCGGCCGCCAGCTCGCTGGTCTTGGCCAGCGCGTCCCGCAGCCGCGACTCCTCCGCCTCCGCCGCCCGCCGGGCCTCCGCCAGCTCCCCGCAGCTGCCCTGAGCCTGCGAGCGGGCACGGCTGGCACCGGGGGCACGGCGGGACGGGGTGATGGGGACAGGGGCAGTGCCTGGGGCAGGGGGACACGGGGGCACCTGGGGTTCGGGGAGCACCTGGGGCATGGGGGACACCTATGGGGCCATGGGGGACACCTATGGGGCCATGGGGGCAGCTGGGGCACGGGGATGCACCCACAGCAGGACTGGCACTCCCAGGGATACACCCACGGGGATTCACCTGTACCCATGGGGATGCACCTGTATCCGTGCCCAGCCCCGCTGTGGGGCAGGTCCGGGTGCCCACCTTGCCCAGGGCCTCTGCCAGCGCCTCCTGCTCGCCCCGGGCCAGCTCCGCCTCCAGCAGCGCCCGGCTCAGCTCCTCCCGCGCCTCCAGCAGCTCCCGCTGCGCCCGCACCCGCTGCGCCTCCAGCTCCTGCACCTGCTGCTGGCTGCGTGGGGACAGCACAGCCCACCTGTGCCCACCTGTGCCCGCCTGTGTCCCCTGTGCACCCGCCTGTGCCCCTGTGCACCCATCTGTGCCACCCTGAACCCTCCTGTACCCCCCCACACCCACCCGTGCCCCCTGTACACCCCTCTGTGCCCACCTGTCCCCACCTGCATCCACCATAGGTAGGTCCTGGGGGTGCTGTGCCCTCCAGCACCTCTCTATGTGCACCTGTATGCACCTGAACCCACGTGCACCCACCTACAACCACCTGTGCTCATCTGAACCCTCTTGTACCCCCCGCACACCCTGTACCCACCCTGACCCCACACACACCTGGGTCCCCACCGTGCCCACCTGGGTCCCCACCTGAACCCTCCTGTGCCCACCTGTGACCCCCACACCCACCCGTGCCCCGTGCCCACCTGTGCTCCAGCTGCTCGAGGGCAGCCTGGGCGTCGCGGGCAGCCTGGTCCCGGGAGTCCTGCAGCCCCTCGCTGCGGCGCCGCAGCTGCTCCCGCTCCTGCTGCAGGGCCCCCGCTCGCTGCTGCTCCTCTGCCAGCGCCGCCTCTGCGCGGCACAGCTCCCTACGGACACACGGACATGGACACACGGACACGGGCACATGGACACACGGACATGGACACACAGACACGGGCACATGGACACACGGACAGGGGCACACAAACACAGGGGCACATGGACACACGGACATGGACACACGGACATGGACACACGGACACACGGACATGGACACACAGACATGGACACACGGACATGGACACAGAGACACATGGACACACGGACACGGGCACACAGAGACATGGACACAGAGACACATGGACACACGGACACGGGCACATGGACACACGGACACGGGCACATGGACACACGGACATGGACACACGGACACACGGACATGGACACACAGACATGGACACAGAGACATGGACACAGAGACACATGGACACACGGACACGGGCACACAGACACATGGGCACACGGGCACAGGAACATGGACACACGGGCACACAGACACACGGGCACATGGACACACAGACACACAGGCACAGGCATGGGCACATGGACACACAGACACATGGGCACATGGACACAGACACAGCCATAGGTGCATGGACACACAGACAGATGCACAGGGACAGACAGATGGACATTCAGGGACAGACACACGGACACACAGGACAGACAGAGGGGCGGTACCTGCGCAGCCCCTCGACCTGGGCCCGCAGCTGAAGCCCCTCCCGCTGGGCCTCCTCCTGCGCCCGCCGGCAGCTCCCGGCCTCGGCTCCCAGCTGCTCCAGCCGCTGCTCCAGCATTCCCAGCTCCCGCCGCAGGCTCCCGGCCGCCTCCCGGCCCGCCTCCACCTGGCTCCGGGCCTCCTGGGGGCCAGCCTTCATCAGATCCCATCCCCCATCCCATCCCATTATCCCATCCCATTATCCCATCCCACTCCATCCTCCTCCTCCTCCCAGCTCACCTGCAGCTGGAGCTGGCGCCGGCTCAGGGCTGCGTGGACGGCAGCGGCAGCGGCGCTGGCAGAGAGGCTGCGGAGAGGGGACACGGCGGGACACGGAGGGGACACGGGGGGACACGGAGGGGACACTGCAGGTGTGGGGAGCTCGGGGTCATCTGCCAGAACCGCCTGTTCCCAGGAAAATCCACGGGAAAGTGAGGCAAGGAAGGGAATTAAGTCAATGAAGAGGGGAACCAAGGTGAGAAAGGGGAGATGGAGTCCAGTGAAGGGGAAAATAAGGTGGGAAATGGGAAATCAAGTCAATGGGGAAACTGAGGCAGGGAGGGGAAAACTGAATCAGAGAGAGGGGAAACTGAATAAGGAAATGCAAAAATGAATCAAGGAAGGGGACACTGAGGCAGGGAGGGGACACTGAGGCAGGGAAGGGACACTGAGGCAGGGAGAGGCCCCCCTGGCTGTGGGTGGCCCCAGGGTGTCCCAGCACCTGGGTGACCTCGTGCAGCGTCCGGCGCAGCAGCTCCAGCTCGGAGCGCAGAGCCTGCACCTGCTCCGGCGTCGGCTCCCGGGCGCGCGCGGCCTCCTGTGAGCCCCGGGATGGGATCAGGCCAGGAATGACAGACCTGCATCCCCAAACCCCCACACCCTGCACCCACCAGCTCCCGCAGCTGCAGGGTCAGCGCTTCCACCGCCCGCTCCTTCTCCTCATCCTCGCTCCGGCGCCGCTCCAGGGCCGCCGTCAGCTCCGCCAGCCTGGCCAGGACACAGCCAGCATCCAGCACCCAACATCCAACATCCAGCACCCAGCATCCAACATCCAGCACCCAGCATCCAACACCCAGCATCCAACATCCAGCACCCAACATCCAGCACCCAGCATCCAACATCCAGCACCCAGCATCCAACACCCAATATCCTACATCCAACACCCAGCATCCAACATCCAGCACCCAGCATCCAACATCCAACATCCAGCATCCAACATCCAGCATCCAACATCCAGCACCCAACATCCAGCATCCAACATCCAACATCCAACATCCAATATCCCTTTCCTCACACCCCTTCCCACCTATGCCACAGCCCCAAAACCTTCCCCATGAAACATCCCCCATGGCCCCATTGGGGTGCATCCTCCCCATCCTGGTGCTCCTGCATCCCATCCCTCTGACCCATATTCCCTTCCCGTCCTGCGCCACATCCCCAAAGTCTTCCCTGTGGAACACCCTCCTGGTGCCCCTGCATCCCTCCTGGTGCCCCTGCATCCCTCCTGGTGCCCCTGCATCCCTCCTGGTGCTCCTGCATCCCCTGGTGCCCCTGCATCCCATCCCTCAGACTCACTCCCTCCCCATCCTGTGCCACATCTCCTGCACCTCCATTCCTCCCCTCACCCACCGGGTCCCCCCAGCCTGCCCGTACCTCGCTGCCAGGGTGGCTTTCTCCCGCTCCGCATCCCGTGCCCGCGCCGCCAGCTGCTCCTGCAGCTGCTCCAGGCGCAGCTCCTGCCGCTCGCGGGCCGCGCCCGCCTGGCTCTCGGCCAGCCGCAGGTTGGCAGCCAGGTGCAGGCAGGCGGCGTGGGCGGCGCGGCCCGTCCGCGACACCTCGTGGCCCAGCTCCGACAGGTCCCTGCGCGGGAGGGAGGCGCAGGGTGGGATCCCCAGGGATCCCCGCAGGGAGGGATCCCGCCCCGGGTGCCGCTGACCTCTCAGTGGTGGCCTTCATGTCCCCGAAGTGGCGCCTGAAGGTCACCAGCTGCCGCCAGAGGGTCAGGAGCCGGCTGTGCTCGTTGCTGAAGTAGGTGTTGAAGGACTGGGGTGGGATGGAGCAGGGTCAGGGATCCACCATGGTTCCCAAATTCCCAAATATCCCTCCTGGCCACACCCATCACCCCCACGGTCCTCTACAGCCCCACCATAATTACTGTGGGCACAGAGAAGGGTGGGGGGGTGACATGTCCCTGCCTCACATCCCCTTCCCATCACATCCCCAAACCCCCAAATTCTTCTCCATGCAACAGCCCCCATGGCCCCACACCCCTCCCACGGGTCCTGTGTAATTGGCCCTGACACATCCCTGCATCCCCCTGCCTCATCTCCCTTTCCCATCCATGTCACACCCCCAAATCCTTCCCCACAGAACATCCCCCTGGCCCTGCATCCCTCCTCAGTGACCCCACATTCCACAGCCCTGTCTTGCATCCTCTTCCCATCACATCCCCCCCATATTCCCCAAACTCTGCTCCTTGCAGCATCCCCCACCACCCCACACCCCTCTCCATGATCCCACATCCCCTCAGCCCCCTGCCTCACACCCTGCTGCTGCTCCCTGGTGTCCCATGTCCCCGCCCGGGTGTCGCCCACCTCCTCCTCCCGCCTCCACTCCGCCTCCCGCTGCTCCAGCTCATCCCGGGCCCGTGCCCAGTCCGCCGTGAGCTTCCGGATGTCCTCGCTCAGCGCCGCGTTGGCCACGTTGGCCTGTTCCAGCTGCTCCCGCAGCATCGAGTTCACCTGCACCAGGCTGCTGCTCCTGGCATCAGGGATCACCGAGGTCAGAATCCCACGGGAATCCTCACATTCCCCTCGGGATCCCACCCACCTCTGCTGCTTTTAGGATTGAGGATCACCGAGCTCAGCATCCCCCGGGAATCCTCACATTCCCCCCGGGTCCTGCCCACCTCTGCTGCTTTTGGGATTGGGGATCACTAGGGTCAGCATCCCCTGGGAATCCTCACATTCCCACCCACCTCTGCTGCTCCTGGGATTGGGGATCACCGAGGTCAGCATCCCCTGGGAATTCTCACACCCCCACCCCCCCCCGGGTCCTGCCCACCTCTGCTGCTTTTGGGATTGGGGATCACTAGGGTCAGCATCCCCTGGGAATCCTGACATTCCCACCCACCAATGCTGCTCCTGGGATTGGGGATCACTGAGGTCAGAATCCCCTGGGAATCCTCACATCCCCCAGGATCCCATCCACCTCTGCTGCTCCTGGGATCCCGGGGATCACTGAGGTCAGCATCCCCCAGGAATCCCCACATCCCCCCAGGTCCTGCCCACCTCTGCTGCTCCTCCTCCAGCCGGATCAGGGCGTTCTCCAGCTCGTTGCTGCTCTCCTCGTCAGGCTGGGAGCCGCTGGCATCCAGCTGGATCTGTGGGAATATCCCCTGGTGGCCATCACCCCAATTTGGGATTTGGGGCAGGGGACCCCCAAAGCCTTCCTCACTGTCAGCCTCTCCTGCTCCAGCTCCGTCGCCTTCTCCAGCAGCTGCTGCTCCACTTCCCCGCATTTCTTCTTGTACTGCAACACCTGGGGGAGAGACAGGAGGTGACACCGATGGTGGGGTGCCCCCAGATTATCCCAGTGTCCCCCAGGAAGGATGTACCTTGGCTTGGAGCTTCTGCACCAGCTGGGCCTGGCGCTGCTGGCCCTCCTGGTAGGCCTGGAGCTTCCTCTTGTAGGCAGCCTGCTCCTCCTCCAGCAGCCTCCGGAGCTCGATGTTGTGCTGGGCCAGGCTCCGGCTCTCGGCTGCTTCCTCCGGCTCCAGCCGCAGGCTCTGCTCCAGCTGGGACCAGGGGAGCCCGGGCTGGCACCTCCACACCCCTGGGCATCCCCCGGCCCAGCCTGGCACCCCTGGGCATCCCCCGGCCCAGCCTGGCACCCCTGGGCATCCCCCAGCCCAGCCTGGCACCCCCATACCCCTGGGCATCCCCCAGCCCAGCCTGGCACCCCCACACCCCTGGGCAGCCCCCAGCCCAGCCTGGCACCCCCACACCCCTGGGCAGCCCCCAGCCTCGCTTCCAGGGGTTCCATGGTAAATCCCAGCCAGCCAAAGGCCCCAGTTCCCACATTCTCCCATTTCTCCATGCACAGGGAGGGGGTGAATGGGGAACTTCTGGGGTGGTTTTAAGGATAACCCAACCTCCAGTCTGTGGGGTCAGCAAAGCCCCTTCCCAGTTTGCAGGGAGTGGCTGATGGATAAAGGATCCTTGGGTACAGGAGTGGAAACTTGCCTGGGGATATTTTCCTGATATTTGCTTTTATTTTTAATATTGAGGCACAACCAAGGGATTCCTCCAGTACCCCACCAGTTTGGGGCACACTCAGCACTGGGAGGGCCACAGCCCTTTGGAATTCCCGGTTGCCAGGGAAAAGTGTTGGAAAACTGAAAGATTCCCACAGGGAGGGGGTGGGTTCCTTCCCAAAATCCAGCAGGACAAATAAAACAGGGATGGACAAGCCTTGGCAAGCCAGGACTGGCCTGGACAATTCCCACCACGGGGACACTGCAGCTCCCCCGCCCCACACAGGGAATGCCAGGGCTGGAGCTGGCACCGCCTGGAGTTTGGGGCTGAAAAGGGGATTTGGGGGGCTGCCTGAGGGCATTGTACCTGATGAACAGCTCTGGATTTTGGGGTTAAAAAGGGGGATTTGGGAGGCTGGCTGAGGGCATTGTACCTGATGGCCAACTGTCAATTTTGGGATTAAAAAGGGGGATTTGGGGGGCTGGCTGAGGGCATTGTACTTGATGGCCAGCTGTGGATTTTGGGGCTAAAAAGGGGGATTTGGGGGGCTCACCCGCTCGCTGAGGGCGTTGTACTTGATGGCCAGCTGTGGATTTTGGGGCTAAAAAGGGGGATTTGGGGGGCTCACCCGCTCGCTGAGGGCGTTGTACTTGATGGCCAGCTGTGGATTTTGGGGCTAAAAAGGGGGATTTGGGGGGCTCACCCGCTCGCTGAGGGCGTTGTACTTGATGGCCAGCTCATCGCGCTCGGCCCGGCTCTGGGCCAGCAGGTCCTCGACGCGGGACAGCTCCTGCTGCAGGATCCTGTTCTCCTCCTGCAGGGACAGCAGCGAGGCCATGGCTCCTGCACGAGGGATGGAGAGAGGCAGGATGGGATCCGGGATCTGGGATGGGATCTGTGATCCAGGGTGGGATCCGGGATGGGATTTGGGATGGGATCCAGCCCAGGACACAGCCAGGGCATCCTTTGCCACCACGAACTGCTCTGCTCCCCTTGGGGAGGGGCTGAGCCCTCCCTGGGTGCAGCATTTGGATAAAGGATCCTCAGGGACAGGAACAACAACCTGCATTGGGATCTTTCCCTGATATTTGCTTTGATTTTAATAACGAGGCACAAACAGGGGGATTTCTACCAAAATCCACCACCCCTCAACGTGTCTCCTCCAGCCCATGGGGAGCATTCTGTCCCCTGGCCTGGCTGGAAATGCCACCTCCCACACTCGGACATTCCAAGGAATGCTCTTTGTGAGGGAAGAGCTGCTGGAAATGCGCAGTTGTGGTCAAATACCCACGGGAAATTTGCAGTTGTGACTGCAAGGACGTTCAGATCCACGTTCACAATCACAAAATCAGCCAGGGATTTGCAGCTGCAACCACAAAATGGCCAAAATCTGGAGTTTGGGATCACAAAGTGCTGCAGATCAACAGTTGTGATTCAAACCCACTTCATTTTGCAGCTGCAACAAAAAACCTCTGTAAATGTGTGTTTGGGACCATAAAATCATGGCAGGTTTACAGCTGCAAGAGCAAAACTGCTGCAGATTTGCAGCTATGATCCCCAAACTGCTGCAAATCTGTGTTTGTGATCACAAACCCCCTGCAGATTTACAGCTGCAGTCATAAAACTGCCACAAATTTGCATTTGGATCCCAAAACTGCTGTAAATTCATGACTGTGATCCCAAAACTGCTGCAGGCTTCCAGTTACAATCCCAAAACATGCTGCAGATTTCCAGTCACAACCACAAAATCACTAAAAATTCATGTTTGTGATCCCAAACCTGCTGCAGATTTCCAGTCACAATCCCCAAACTGTTGCAAATTCATAGTTGATCCCAAACACCCTGTAAACTCATGTCTGTGATCCCAAAACTGCTATAAATTCATGTCTGTGTTTTCCAAAACTGCTGCAAATTCATGTTTATGATCCCAAACCCGTTGTAAATTAATGCTTTACTCCAGAACTGCTGCAGATTTCCAGTTACAATCACAAAAAAATATTGCAGATTTGTAACTGCAATCACAAAACTGACACAAAATTTGATTTCTAATGCCAAAACCTCTGCAAATTCATGTTTGTGATCCCAAAACCACTGCAGATTGACAGTTGCAATCATAAAACTGGCACAAACTTGCATCTGTGATCCCAAAACTGCTGTGAATTCCTATTTGTGATCCCATAACTGCTGCAGATTCCCAGTTACAACAACAAAACTGCTGCAGATTTACAGCTGCAACCACAAAATCATTAAAAATTTCTGCTTGTGATCCCAAACTCTTCTGCAGCTTCACAGCTGTGATCCCCAAACCGCTGAAAATTGCATTTGCGATCCCCAAACCACCTTAAATTCTCGTTTAAGATCCCAAACCGCGGCACTTTTCCATTTGCGGCCACAGACCCGCCCCTGATTCTCCGCCGGGATCACGGGGCCGCCCCGATCCGCGATTTCCCCACCACAAACCCCCTTTGCCCTCCCAAACCCGCTGCCCAAGTGCCATTCCCGATCCCATTCCCGACCCCGATCCATTCCCCACCTCAATCCCGATCCCATTCTCGACCCCAATTCCATTCCCGACCCCGATCCTATTCCCGATCCCATTCCCACTCCCGATCCCATTCCCGGTGCCGGTCCCATCCCCATTCCCGATCCCATTCCCGGTCCCGGTCCCATTCCCGGTCCCACGCTCCCCCGGCCGGGGGGGACGCGCTGTCCCCACCTCAGCCCCGGGAGCATCTCCCGAGCCCCGGGCCCCCCCTTGCCGCGGCCTCCTGGTCCCCCGGCCCCTTTTCCCGGGATTTGGGGCGGTTCGGGAAGCGGATGCGGGGTCGGGATTAGCCCGAAATCCGCGTCCCCTCCCCGCGTGACGGCGGGAGCGGGGACCCTCCTCTTCCTGGAGGTCCCGACAGCAGCACGGCCCCATCCTCCCCCGGCAGCCCCTCGGCATTCCCGGGCTCCGCCGACAAACCCACCCCGAGGCCCGGAGCAGAAGGAGGAAAAGGGAAGCAGAGCCAGTGGCAGCCCCGGGCCGGCCGTGCCCGCGGGCGTGGGGCGGTCCTTACCCGGGACGGAGCGCTCCCGGAGGGCCCCGAGCCCCGCGCTCCGTAAGCTCCTTAACCCCGAGCTGGCTCCGGCAGGAAAAGCTCCGGGGTGGAGCGAGCCGGGGTTGCCAAGGGGTGAAGCGGCTTTAACACCCCCGGGATGCGGGGATGGCGCCGGGACCCCGGATCATCCCCCCTGCCGGAGCTTTAATTATCCCCGGCGTAATTAAAGACTTGCTGCCCCCACCCTGGTGAAGTGGGCATAAAGCCCCAAGCCGGGCCCCAAATCCGCCAGGACGGGGGCTGGAGGCGTCCCCGCCCCTGAAACAAGGGATGGATCCGGTGCCGAGCCACGCTCCGGGCAGGAGGGGCTCGCCCGGCCGCCCTCCCCTCGCCCCCCGGCAGGGAAAGTGCCCTTTCTGCCCCGGAGATTACCCGGGCCGGGGAGCAGGCAGACGGGATTGAGGATTTACGGAGTCTTGGATGCCTCCAGCCAGCCGGGAGCTGCCTCCAATTCCACCCCCCACCAAGCACTTGTGTCCCAAAACCCCTCCTTTTCCCCTCATTTCCTCTCTTACCTTCCCCTCCCGGTGTCCTTCCCAACAGAAACCACTGCTAAGCAACAGGTTCTGTTGTGCTCCGTGTCCAATCCCATTCCCTCGGCACCGGCAAGGAATGGGAATCACAAAAGCTCATCCTGGCTGCTCTGAGCCCGCCCAGGGGAGGAAAAAAATTCCAGTCTGGCATCAAAACTGTTTTATTGTTCACTCAGAAGCGTTACATTCTCACCTGGGTTTGCTGCCAGGCCCAGGGGAAAGCTCTGAAAGCAAAATGCCCATCATCCAGTTGGAAATGGAAAGGAAAATCCAAAGGGTTGGATAAAAATAAGTGGGATTTCGTACTCAGAAAAGCCTTAATATAAATAGGTAAGAAAATATTTATTTGTTTCAAGAGGAATCTCAACCCCAGCTCTGTCCAAGAGCCTGACTCCATTCTGTCCTTAATAAAATGTCCATAGAAATGAGTAAAAAATCGTGTCTTCAAAATAGAGGAGTAAAACAAACTTCCCAGAGTAAGAAACTTCAGTAAGGAATTTCAGCAGGGGAATGCCGGGATCAGGCTCCCCACATCCCAGTTAAGTGCTCAGAAAGAAAATCCAGGTGGTGCTTGGCATCTTGGGAGGGAAAGGCTTGTGTGGATTTGGGAGGTGAGATGGCTCCAGGAGGATGCTCCTCGCCCAGGGAAGGACTGATCCACCCAAAAGCACGAGCAGAAGGCAGAGGAATCTCTGAGGAGACGCCAAGCTCTCCCTCCTTATCAAGGAGAGGGAGGAACATGATGGTTTTTCCCAAAGGAGAAGCCTCTGAGGTCTCCCAGGATGCAGGCCCTGGATGTGGAGTGTTTTAAGGCACGTGGCTGTTTCTTTCCAGCACTTATTCCAGCATTCCAATGCCAGGTGGGTTTAAGGGCAGGAGTGAGGTGTCCTGAGGCTGCTTCTTTGGTCCCACATAATCCTGAGGATCCCAGCACCCACAGGGGAAAGGTGGATCAAGGTGGGATCAGAACTGAACCCAGCCAGTGTTTCCCTGAGCCTGACTGGAAGTCGACCTGGAGAAGGGGAAAAACAGGGGGAAAGGGTGTTTAGAGATGGCAAAGGCATCCAGGCAGGAAACTGCGCTGTAAATGGATCATCCAGGAGCACCCCAAAACTCTCCTGGAGCAGCAGAGCAAGAAGTTCCCATGGACCCGAACTCAGGGAACTGGCAGCACAGAGGCAGAGCTGCTTCTGAACCCCAAAGCTGGGACTGGATGGAGCAGTGCCCCCACCCCAGCGGGAATTCCAGCAAAACCAGGCGGTTTTGGGGCATCCACATCCCCCCCAAATCCCTGTGCTGCTCACCCCGAAGCTTTGGCAAAGTCTCCCCAGACATCAGTAGCAGGAGCAGCAGTGGGCTGAGGCCAGGACAGCAGGGAGTCTGTCAGAAAGTCAGGTAGAGAGAAAACACAACAGCAGCAGTGATTTCCCACTCTGACTCCCAGACTCCCCCCTCTGATGGATGAAGCAGCCCCCAGGAGCTCTGTGTGAGCACAGACCTGTGATGGGGGTGCCTGGGAGCTGGGCAGGCGTGGAGAGCGGGGCCGGGCGCTCCCCAGAGCTGGATTTTCCTCCAGGGGGTGGTGGGAGCAAACTCAGGCCCCCAGGCCCTGCAGGACGTGGCCTGGTGCTCCCTGTCCCTCCTTCTTTTTTCTTCATGTTCTGAAAAGAGAGCAGGAAGCTTGGGTGGGATCGCATTTAAATCCAGAGCCAGAGCATGAAAACCCTGGAAGCCAAATTGTTTTAATTTGGGAATAAAATCCTGCACTGCTGGTGCATCCAAAGGGGTCACAGCAGGGCTGGATTTTACCCCAGATCCCACAGGCCTGGCTTTGGCAGCAGGAATTGATGGCACCACAACCCCTGCAAATCCCTGCAGGCAGCGTTATCCCCACGGGCTCTGCCCTGAGCCCATGCACAAGGATTTCAGGGAGGAGCTGCTTCCTCATGGCACCCAAAGGAAAGGCTGGAATCAGCTGGGAAAGGCCCTCACAGCAATGTTGAGTTTGATGGTTTGTCCCTCCTTGAAGCCCAGATCCAGTTTGGGTCCCTGCTCCAGGTCCTGGGCCTGCCGGGCCAGCTCGCTCTGCTGCCTCACCCACCTGTGGGAATTAAATCCATGGAAAAGGAGACACAGCCTGCCCCAGGCTCCCCCAGACAAATCAATCCTGCTCAGGACCATCCCTCTGTGGCAGCAGCTCTGCAAAGACCACGGTGTGAGCTGGGACCTCACCTGAGGGAGCACCCAGGGAATGATTCCCAGCAGCAACCTCACAGATGCCCCAACCAGCATCATGTCCATCCATCCCTCCGCAAAATCCCAAAATTCCAAAACCCCACCACCCCCAGCAGCTGCAGCAGCCCCTCAGGGCAGCCCCTTACAGCTGATACAGGAAGCAGAGGAAGTAAACTAGGGAATGTGGACTGGGAATTTGGACACCGGTTGTGGACTTGGGAAGCCCAGTTTGGGACACTGCTGATCCAGGCTGGGAAATCCCGGAGAGAGGAAGAGTTGCAAGTTTCCTCCTCTTCCCACCACAGCTGCCCAGCCCAGCTCCCACTTCTCCACCTCTCCTGGAGGAGACCTGCTGAAAACAGAGCTGAGGGGACACAGGGAGAGGCACAAACTCACTTGAAGTGGTCCTGGAGAGCCACGTTGAAGTCAAAGGCATCCCCTCGGTCCACAAAGCCGACCCCGATGAACGCCCGGCGGCCTGGCAGGGAGCAGGAGATGGGATGGGGGATGGGATGGGGATGGGAATGGGGATGGGATGGGGATGGGAATGGGATGCTCCATCCTGCACAGCCCCGTGCCTGGCGCTGCCTCCAGAGGGAGCTGGGACACTGGAGACTGAGCCATGGGACTGGGGATCACAGAATCCAAGAATGGTTTGTTTGGAAGGACTGTAAATCCCATCCCATTCCAAGGGCAGGAACACCTTCCACTGTCCCAGGCTGCTCCAAGCCCCTGCCAACCTTGGGCACTGCCAGGGATCCAGGGGCAGCCACAGCTGCTCTGGGCACCTGTGCCAGGGCCTGCCCACCCTCACAGGGAACAATTCCTAATTCCCAATATCCCATCCAGCCCTGCCCTCTGGCACTGGGAAGCCATTCCTTGTGTCCTGTCCCTCCATCCCTTGTCCCCAGTCCTCTCCTGGAGCCCCTTTAGGGACTGGAAGGCCACAATTAGGTCACCCCAGAGCCTTCCCTTCTCCAAAGGCATCTCCAGGTGTTTCACTTCCTGGGCTGCATCTAAACTTCAGTACAAATTGCTTTTTAATTAACTGGCAGCAGGGGTTGGGGGGGGCTCCTGTATCCTCCTGCCAAGGCTGAGCAGCCCAGCTCCAGTGTTTTTGTTCCTGGCCAAGGTCAGAGCCGTGGGAGGCAGGCAGCTCCTCCCTCTGCCCCCCCGTGCAGGGAACATTCCGCCATGGGAAGCAGGAATCCTCCCCGAGCAGGAGCAGCGAGGGCTCCGCGGGCGTGCGGGACGCACCGTTCCCATCTTCAATCCGGATGACAAAGTATCGGCTGGAGTCCGTCACGCCCTCCACAGCGATCCCGGGGAACTGCTCCACGGGAGCCTGGGCGAAGAGCTCGCCTGGAACACAGCAAGGGGCCGGGTAAGGCCGGGCCCAGCCCGCGCCGCGGCTCGGCCGGAGCCCCGCGGTGCCCCTCACCCGAGCTCCTGTCCTCCAGCTTGATGAAGGCCGTGCTGCCCTTGGCCGTGATGCGCAGGCGGCCGCTCCAGGCCGGCTGGTCCAGCTGCCACTCGGCGGCCCTGGGGAGCAGCAGGGGAGCGTGAGCCCTGTGCCGCCCCCAGCCCCCCGTGCCCCGGGCTCTGTGCCTGCTGCAGGGTCAGGAGGGAGCGGCGTTTGTCACAAGATGGCTCGTTCCACCCCAGAGCAGCCGCTGCGGTGGGCGGGAGCAGGCGGGAGCTGCGCGGGAGGTTTCGGTTCCCTTTCCGCGGAGTCCAGAGCCGGAGCTGCGCTGGGGACAGCGGCCGTGCCAGGACGGGCTCGGGCTGGGGGTCCCTGACGGGGCGGGAACCCCAAAACACACCGGGGGACGGAGACAGGGTGGGGATGGGGGCACAGACACCTCGGGGAGAACCCACGGGGGCTGAGGTTTCTCACGGAAGGGCTGAGATACCCCATGAGGGGCAGTTCCTGCTGCCCCACGGAGAGGGAGAGACCCCGAACACCTCTGGGAGCCACGAACCCCTCACACCCCCTGAGGAGGGGACCCCACAAACCCCACAGGGAGGGGGCGAGCCCCCCCACGCCAGGAGGCGCTGACACCCCGCGGGCGGGCGCGGGCCCCACCTGTAGCCGCGGTTGGAGGCCCGCGGCGGTACCCGGTACACGAGCACCGCCGGCTTCACGCACAGCACCGACTCGTACTCCTCGTCCGCCTCCGCCGCCATCGCGGCCCCGCCGCCGCTCTGTGCCGCCGCCTCGATGGTACCTCGGTGGTGCCTTGCTGCTGCCACCGCGGCCGCCCAGGAGCGGGCGGGGCCCGCCGGAGAGAGGCGCTTCCGCATTCGCGGCGCCCCCTAGCGCGCGGGAGGACCGGTGGAGGGTGCTGCGGGAACTGGTCCCAGTTCGATGCGGGAACTGGAGCCGGGTCTGGGCTCCGAGCCACCAAACTCACAGGTTTCACTGCTTTTATAAATCAGGAAATTTTATAAATCAAATCATGGGCTCTACTATTTCTATTAATTTATATTATAGCATTATATACTATATATTATAGCATTGTAGGTTCTGTAAGATAGATACGGTATGTTAAGTATATGTATTAGATACTGGGTTGTATAATATTACATATTACTGGGTTGTCTAATATATTACATATACGTTTATTCTCTATTTATTTATATTTTTATATTCTATTTATATTTTTATATTCTATTAATATTGTATGTTTACATTCTATTATAAATAAATAGTTTCAAATCATCAGAATTCCCAGGGAGCTGGGGGCTGTGGGATCTGCCAGGGCTCCCAGATTCCTCACCCCAAGAGCTTCCAGCACCTTCTCTGGACATTATGGAGCACAACACCCAGGGGGGAGCCCAGCACGGAGAAACAAAATAATCACATCAGATTAAATGAGTTCAATTAACTGATTTGCTTTTCTGCTCCAGGGACAGGCAGCGCTCACATCCACACTTGGGATCCACATCTTCCCTTGGAGCACTGCCCTTCCCACCCTCCTCGGACCACTCCTCTCAACCACCCTAAAAACTGAGTAAAATCCCCTGGTTTTGGGTGAAATTATGGGAAAAACTCCCAGATTTTACCTTCCTGGCGGATTTTGACACATCTGCCACCACAAAACCGCCCCTGGCAGACCTGGGGATGAAAGGAGGGAGCCATAAAGCCGTGAAAAGTTTAAAGACATTTATTTAAAATACAATTTATAAAACGTTTTCTTTCCGGCGCACGTTTTTGTTTTGTTTTTATTTGTTTCGGGGCGGAAACACGCGGGTGCCGCGTCCATCCTCCCCCTCCTCGGGATGAAGGCGCTTCCCTCAGGAACGCCGCCGAGCCCTGCCCGCGGGCGGGACGTGTCCTGTGTCCTGGGCACCGTGTCCTGTGTCCTGGGCACCGTGTCCCGGCGCCGGGACGCAGCAGGAGCAGCCGGGGAAGGAGATTTCAGTGCTGGAAAAGGGGATTTCGGTGCCGGCAGCGATGCGGCACCGAGCGGCCGCACCAGAAATCCGGCGGATCTGGGAGGTTTTTGGCTATTCGATGCTATTTTTAGGAACAATTAAGGAAAGGCGCAGTGACTACAGTTATTGCTGACGGCCTTCTCCCTCCCGCTCCCTCCTGGAGCTCATCCCGGCCCCCAGGCTGAGGGGGATGAGTGAGATCCCCCAAAAGTCCCCAGGATCCCAGGAGGAATCCCGAGGGAATCCCGCCCCACCCGGAACCAGCTGCGAGGAGCTCATGAAGGTTCCGGGGGTTGGATACACAGGTAGTTTCTGTTTTCCCCTTTCTGTGGGATTCCAGCCTCATTTCCACACAGGGCTTTTCGTGCACATCAAGATTAGCTCGTTCCCCCTCGAACCTGCTGAAGGCAGCACCCAGATGCAGGAATCCCTTGGGAAGCACCTGGCTCTCCAGGTCCTGGCCCTCCAGGAAGAGCATTTAGTGTTCATCCAATCCCTTGATACTGAGTGATCCTCAGCTTCATCCAGAGGGAAACATCTCCATTCCTGGGGAGCAGCAGCCTCCCCGTCCTCTTCCCGGGAGCCAGAGCAGGACAATCCCTTCCCTGAAGCCTTGCCGCCTCCAGGGAGATGGGGGGATCATCCAGGCTTTCCCCAAGGCTGGTCTGGTTCCCGGTTCTGCCATCCCAGGAGAGCTCGTACCGTCCCCGCGCCGCCGGGCCGGCCCCTCGGGATATCCCACTGCCCGATGTCACGGCCGCAGCGGCGCCGGAGCCGCTCCTCTTCCTCCTCTTCCTCCTCCTCACATCTCCCTAATTCTTCACCGCCCGGCCCTCCACGGCCGGGCAGCAGGCATTTGCACGGGGTCACTCTGCATTCCCGTCTCCCCAAACACAAAAGAACCCAAAAAGGATGTGTTTTAAGCTTCTCCTCAAAGCCAGCAGGGAATCGGAGCCAAGCTTTAACAGGAGCAGGATGTGAACTGGGTCCAGCTCTGAGGTACCTGGGGGCATCCAGGAGCTCGCTTCCATGGCAGTGGAAATGGAGAAGGAGAAGCATGAGCTTGTCATCCCCAAGCCATCACATTCATGGAAATCCATTGGAATTCCCTTCGGAACACTCAGCTACCTCTCTGGATTCAAACAAACGGCTCAAACCCTTCCCACGCACTCCGCCGATCCAAGATACAGAAAACAAACAGAAAACCAAATAAAAGAACCTAAAATCCTTGGAAACAGAACTCGTTCTGGAAGTGATGAGGGCAACATGCGCGGCTGGGGAGGCTTCCCACCTTTTTTTTTTTTTTTTTTTCCTTAAATGCCAGGTTTCGTGTACAACAAACGTTATTGCTGGCGCTCGCTCCGACCCGAGCGGGACACGCACGACTCCCTGCGCCCGGCCGAGTCCGGCACGGCCCCTCGTGTCCCCCGGCCGCGGGGACAGCCCTGCCGCGGTGGCCGCTCACAGTGGGTGGAGAGGGGAGGTCACAGTGCGTGGGGCTGAAGGTCACAGTGGGCAGAGCAAAAGGGTCACAGTGCAAATCACCCCGGGAGGTCCCCTGGCCCGGGTCCGTGTGTCCGTGCCGGCGGAACGGCGCCTCCGCCTCTATCTGCGCTGCTTGAAGCCCTGCGAGCCATCGGGGCCCAGCGGCTGCCGGATCACATTGTTGGGCTGCCGGCTGTCCTCGGGCTGCGAGATCCGCGGCGGCCTGCGGGGACACGGGACATGAGCCTGAGGGGACACAGGGACAGGAGCCTGAGGGGACACAGGGACAGGAGCCTGAGGGGACACAGGGGACATGAGCCTGCGGGGACAGAGGGGGACGTGAGCCTGAGGGGACACGAGCCTGCGGGGACACAGGGGACATGAGCCTGCGGGGACACAGGGGACATGAGCCTGCGGGGACACAGGGGGACCCGAGCCTGAGGGGACACAGGGGGACCCGAGCCTGAGGGGACACAGGGGGACAGATGAGCCTGAGGGGACACGGGAACAGCTGAGCCTGAAGGGACAGAGGGGGACACGAGCCTGAGGGGACACAGGGGGACACGAGCCTGAGGGGACACAGGGGACACGAGCCTGAGGGGACACAGGGACACGAGCCTGCGGGGACACAGGGACAGGAGCCTGAGGGGACACAGGGGGACAGCTGAGCCTGAGGGGACACAGGGGGACATGAGCCTGAGGGGACACAGGGGACGTGAGCCTGAGGGGACACAGGGGGACACGAGCCTGTGGGGACACAGGGGGACACGAGCCTGAGGGGACAGAGGAGACATGAGCCTGTGGGGACAGAGGGGGACAGCTGAGCCTGCAGGGACACAGGGGACATGATCCTGGGGGGGACACAGGGGGACACGAGCCTGAGGGGACAGAGGAGACATGAGCCTGTGGGGACAGAGGGGGACAGCTGAGCCTGAGGGGACAGAAGGGACATGAGCCTGCGGGGACAGAGGGGGACATGAGCCTGGAGGGCACTGCTGGGGCCTGCGGGGACAGAGGGGGACAGCTGAGCCTGTGGGGACACAACTGAGCCTGCGGGGCACTGCTGGGGCTTGCAGGGACAGAGGGGACACAGGTAAGCCTAAGGGGACACCAATGAGCCTGTGGGGACAGAGGGGGACAGCTGAGCCTTCGGGGCACTGCTGGGGCCTGCTGAGACACCAGGAGCAGGGACATGCGAATGAGGTGTGGAACTCTGCGTCCCTTGGGGAAACCCCTGCACCACGGGAATGCTGTCACGGGAATGCTCTGAGGTCCCCAGCACAGGAAGGACATGGAACCAGTCCAAAGGAGCCTGCCAAGGTGATCAGAGGGCTGGAGCAGCTCTGCTGTGAGGAAAGGCTGGGGGAATTGGGACTGTTCAGCCTAGAACAGAGAACCTCTGGGGTGACCTAACTGTGGCCTTCCAGTGCCTGAAGGGGCCAACAGGAAAGATAGAGGGACCCTGGACAAGAGCCTGGGGGAATGGATTCCCACTGCCAGAGGGCAGGGATGGATTGGATATTGGGAAGAGTTCCTGCCTGGCACAGGTCTCCCAGAGAAGCTGTGGCTGCCCCTGGATCCCCTGAAGTGTTCCAAAGGCACACGGATGTGGCACCTGGGGACACATTTAGTGGGGAACACAGCAGTGCCAGTCAATGGCTCGACTCTGTGATCCTGGAGGGCTCTTCCAACCTCAATGACTCCATGGTTTATGGCCTGACCAGGCACTTCCCTCACTCCCACAGAGCTGAGGCTCTAACAGAGCCCTCCTCTCTGTGTGCCAGCCCAGCTCCACCCCCACCAGCACCAGGCAGGAACTCCCCAGGCCCACGGGGCTGCTCCCACCTGTCCAGGATGGGCTTCTCCTGCTCCTCCTCGGGGCTGGCGCTGCCCAGGATGCGTTTCCTGGCCTCGGCGTACTCGGCCTCGCGCTGCGCCAGCGATTTGACGGGGAAGGCGGGGCGGCTGGCCGAGTGCGGGCTGCTGAGCACGCCGTTGCTCGTGGGCCGCTTCAGGATGCGGATCTGCGGCGGCGGCCCCGCGGGAAGGCTGTCGTCCTGGATCACGATGGGCACTTTGGGAGGAGATTTGGACTTTCTGCTGTTGGGAAGAAAAACACGGGGTTGGTGCTTGTTTTCCACGGGGTGTGAATTCCTCGTGCTTGGATGGCCCTCCTGTGATTAAGAGCAGCCTGGAATAACTAAAGGCCTCGTTATAGTGGTAACTCTAAACTGGAGCAGTGGATTAGCTCACAAAGAGACAGAAAAATCAGTCCCTGCTGTGTGTGACACCATTAAATTCTACTGAAGGAAAGGGAACAGACACTGGGTAAAGCTTTAGCATTTCTATTCAAAGATACTGGTATAAGCACCTTGATTTCATTCCCTGCAAGGATTTCTAGGGCCCCTCTCACCAGGACACCCAGCTGTCACTCCAACCGTGCCATTTCACTCCTCAGAGCCAGCCTCAGCTGCAGCTCAACACCTGAATGTTTTACAGTCCCTTTTCTGCATGGAACTCCCAGAGGATA